TGCCAAGCGCGTTGGCAGTGATTAAATTAGCGCCAAGCAACCAACTCATTCCTAAATGCATTAGCATATTTTGTTATTTGTGGTGGTGTGTGAGGGAGGCCACAAAATGCCACCTCCTTCAACTCTAGAGCTAAAGCCTGCACAATTGACGCCGCAGCATTCAGCGTCAGTGAATGCTCCACCGCCACCTTACACACACACACACACACGCATAGTCGGTGTAATTGAGTCTAAGGGGAGGGGACACTCAACACGCGGTGTTCACCTGATGTTGCACCATCACTGCCCCGTAGACCCACCACCGGTGCTGATTAGTGTCGAGGCAGGTGCAAGAAGACCTCTCCATTCGCGTTGATATCGATAATAAAAGGGTGTTCTGTAATACGTGCGCCATGACAGAGTGGATGTGAGCAGCAGGAGGGGTGGTCCTAGAGGAGGACCGAGATGATGGTGACGGAAGGTGTGCACCTCCACATCTGAGAGCATTGACCATTATTACGAGCCTAGTTTGACAATTGACGCAGTCACGTCAAAGGTATTGTGTAGTGAAGTTCACCTCGAGTGGAGGAGGTGTGTGTTGCAGTGGTCGCCACGTCAGCCGACCACCCTACTTCAATTTCAGTGTGAACGGGTGACTCCAGGCCTCATCGTAAGGTAAGTCAGCACACCTCGTGAGGTCAGCCTGCAGGGATGTGTGAGGGCTGTGCACTATGGGAGTGGGAGGACACGCTGCAAGTAGGTGTGCACTGCTCTGTCGTGTGGTCAAGGCTGGAGTGAGTGGGCCGCAGTGCGTTGGCCTCCGCTGGACTACAATGGTATGACATAGACTGAGCAGTTGGCAATCAATGGAGGCACGGAGCACGGAGCACGGAGACCTACGTTACGTCGAATGAAGCCAAATTGGTGTGGTGAAGTGGGAGTGGAAGAGGAAGAGGAGGGTCGAAACGAGTGACAACAGCAGGAGCAGGAACGAGCGGTGGACAAATTGGGATGAGAGACGAAGCATTGCCAACTCCACTTGCCTGTTCTCCCTGTCTGACGGTTGAGAGGAAGTGCAGTGCGCAGGACATAACCAACAATGTTACCACTCTAGACACGTAGGAAGAAGAAGAAGAAGAAGAAGAAGAAGAAGGAGGTGGTGGTAGTGGTGGTGGTGGTGGTGGACGACGGTGGCATCAGCAGCGACTGAAGTGAGCAGTTATTTCAGCTTCCTCAAGTGGTTGAAGGCGTATAGTGGGGAGAGGGGGGCGTCAAAAGGCATGGAAAGGATGCAAATGCTCTTCCATTGCACGCAATGCAGTGAAGGCGTTGCCTTCCAGACAAATGAATGACGGCGATACTGCCACATGATTGGCTCGCGGACTGATTGACAATAAACGCGCTATGAGGGAAAGAAGACTCGAGAGACGGCAGCAGCAGCAGCAGCAGCAGCAGTGGCGGCGGCGGCGGCAGCATGAGGTGGTGCAGGAGAAGGAAGAGCAGGAAGAGGAGGAGGAGGTGTAGGTGCAGGTGAAGGCGGATAAGAGAGGAGGGGGGGGGGAAGGAGTGCAGACAACAATGCACTGCCAATCCTTGAGCGGACATTTGTCTGTTTTGAACAGGTGGTGCTGGTTATGGTCACGCGTACATCAGGTGGTAGTAGTGGTGGCGGTGGAGGAGGAGGAGGAGAAGACGCGTATCCCTCCCCAAAGTGAGGTCAATCCGATCCTGCCAGTGACTACCCTCCATTTGTCATTGTTGAGGTGTCTGTCCCCACTGCTCCAGCGACCTCGCACTGAAGTCCATTCGGTGGAGTGCTAATGTAAACATACTTCACTGTGTGCATCACGCGAAGACCAGTGCCCTTCGATCACCAACCCATGGCCAATGAACCAGTCCCGCGACCTGTCATGCCAAAATGTCATACTGCAGTGCCTCCCTGTGTGCAGGTGGTTGCAGTGGTGAAATCGTTTTTTTTTTTTTCATTTTCGTTCTTTTTTATTTTGGTTCTTTTTCTTCTTCCAAAAAGCATAAGTTGCACTTCCTCTATCTTTCCTGACGCAGTCACCATCACTGGTTGGTTGACATTGGTGATGCTCAGGTCTCCTGTGCGTGGGGACACATGAACAAGGAGAGGCGATGTTCTGCCCACTGGTCCGACCTACAGGTGCACAGTCCTCTCTCCTTCTTCTTCTTCTTCTTCTTCTTCTTCTTCCTCCTCCTCCTCCTCACTGAAAGCATCATCCATCTTGTGGCATAACAATGCGGTGGGCGTTGCCTTCATGCTCGGTGACGACAATACATCCACTGACCGGCATGTTGGGGTGGTAGTCGACGGAGGAGAGCACGTCTGCGAACTCCTTCGAGAGGACCACACTGGGAGGGTGCGTGATGTCACCATTCAGTTGGTCTCCAAGTCCTCGTCCTCAAGGTGCAATAGTCTTCACACCCACTCACTCATCCATCCATCCATCCATCCATCCATCCTCAAGGGATCAACGTTGGTGTTACGTGGGCCAAGAGGGATGGAATGCGAGGAAGAGAGCGGAGGTGGTCGTGAACCACACCTGCGTGAGATGCGGTCCATCCAGCATCAAGGTGGATGTTGGTGGTGTAAAGTGGAAGTTGGGAGGTGGGCGTGGGTTCCAGCAAGGCGTCCAACGTCAACAGACGTGAGCGCGTTTTTGTCTCACAGCAGTGCCTAATCCAACCACCATCCAACCAACCAACCAACTAACCAACCAATTAGCAGCCAAACCGTCAGCAACAAGCAGCATAGCATTGCAAATCAAGGGCCTCGTGACTGGTGCCTTGTGCCTTGTGTCTTGTGTCTTGTGTATTGGTTCTCCAGCCTCATGGTTTGCCTCACATTTCCCACCTCTCTTCCATCTTTTGCTTCCGCAGTGTCAGTATTCATTACTATCATGATTGATGGCGATAATGTTTATTGTAGAGGAGGAGGGTGAGTTGGGGCGAGAAGGGAGGAGGTGATAGACGATGAGGCAAGAAAAAGTGAGGAGTTAGGAATTTGGTGTGGCATTCAGGAAGGCGCTTCTCGTCTCCATCGTGAGGCTACTGACGACTCGTCGTCGCCACATTCGGAATCAGT